ACTTTAAGAGTATATACAGTATATACTTTTTTTCCATATTATTAATAATTAATTGTAGCATGCATGAATAACAAGGGATATTTTAATATCTACAGTGTATCTAAATACCACAAAAGTTAAAAAAATGCAGCTTACCTGCTTACCTTTTCAGGCTTATTTTTTGTTATTGGGTTTAGTTATCCTTTAGCTTACTGCACAATAAAATATAATAAATAGCATGAAAATAGAAATATGTTTTACATTTTGAAGCTGTTAAGTAGACTAATCTGCTTTAATTTAAAGCCATACAAAAAAGTTATGTTCTCTAACCACACTTGCATTAACAATGTACTATTTACCACTTAAAACATCAATACATTGTTAGATGTTTGCAAGCAATGCAACATCGAGCCATACAGTATACTGTTTAACTTCTAAATGATAACATGCAGATTTGAGTATTAAAAATGATCAATATCATGTACAGATATTTTTATACAAGGTAAAAAATTTGCTGAGATTTTTCAGTGAGCATTTTTTTCCTTAAAAGGATGGGCAGTGATCAATTTTCTTCCTGTTCCCATTCGCATAACAAATTATGTGACAATGATAAACTCACATAGTGTGCTTACTTCAATCAGGCATAAGTGGTCTAGAATATTTGCTATAACACATACTTAGTGTGAATAATTAGATTTCATATTTTATTTACTGGAAATGTTCCCTTTAATTAAGGGTGGAGAATAAAACTTTAAATCCTTGCTTTTTTTTACATCTATGCATTTTAAATATGGCAACCTGCAATTGATCAGCATGATCAACTGCAGGTTGATACATTAGACTGTGAATTACAAATATAGCAAAGATATTGTTGACTATGTTTAAGTCAATGTTTTCTTACAGTTTTACTTATTCTTTATCATTCACATGGTATTATTAAAAGATATATGAAAGCATACAAGTAGCAGAAAAGTAACATTTGTATATTTTATTTGTAAAACAAACTTAAAAAAATGAACTAAAGGACATTAGAACTATGTTGATTAAACATTTTGCCACATGCATGATCATTGCAGAAGAAAACTAGTGTTTAGTGTTTGTAAATGCAAGTATATGTTAAATTAAAATTAGATATTATTACTTAAATCTATGATGATAAAGCATCAATAAATCTATACAAACATTCTAAGATGGCACATTAAAACATTATATTCACACACTTGACATTGTCCTGTTGTCACTTAATGACACACTGTGAAAATTTTAACTATAGGAAATGCATCATAATGTGGAGACAGATTCATTTTTAAAAGTTGAAGTGTATGAAGTGTTCTAACTGCAGACAGGCTCAATTAGACTCATTTTACAAAGGGTTCATAAGTTTAGCAAACTTTAATTTGCTTTTAAAGAGAAAATAACTTTTTTTTTGTAGTTCAATATTAACTTGACGAAATGTGTGAATCAAATTCTAAATATATCTGGATTGGTGACACCTAAATAAATCAGCAGCCTTATCTAGTGGAGATAAACATAAAAATAAAAGTTACATTTTTTTTAATGAACATCAGCTTATTTTAAAGGAAATGTTCAAAACATTTAGCCCAAATGATATACAACATATAAGATAATAATCACAGTAGTACAATACAAGTTTTAATCAGAAGCTGTTTAAATTAAAATTAATTAAACCACAACGATATTTAGAAGATATAGAGAAAGGCATAGTATTTTTTTTATTACTTAGTAATAAAATATAAAAATTTAAAATAAAGATGCAATTTTAAAAACATTATATACAGTATACACACACACACACACACACACACACACACACACACACACATATATATATATATATAGCAAGCAGTGATTCCAGCTAATAGTCTGGAATCATTCAAGAAGCTTTTGGGCGATTTCCTGAGAAACGGTAATATACAGGGGTACAGGTACTCCTAATAACAAGATGACACAGGGACCCCTTGATGGACATATGTCTTTATTCAACCTCAAATACTATGTAACTATGTATATAGGTCACTCCATACGGTGAAATTATACGGGGAAACGATATAAGCTATACAAGCTATAACTATATAAGCTAGACTCACCAAACTTTAGGAGTGTACAAAGTAGTCCCCTCCAGCATCAATGTATTTCTGAAGATTAATTTGCCATAGACGGAAGGCGTCATGCCACTCGTTTTCCAAAATTGAGTGTAAAAATTATCTTATGGGAGTATTGGGGATCTCTTCTTCAGAAGTAAAACGGTGACTGTATTAACAAAAAATATATCCAAAACCAATCAGTCTACTTTTAAATCAAAAATAGTCAGAGGAACCTTTTATTTAGAACATATTTATGAATAGATATGTTTATGCCAAGCCAGAGTATTTGTTCTCACAAAAATATAACCAAATTAAGGTGCAGTCTCCTTAATTCTGACTGAATCTTTAAGAAAACCAGCTTGGTAGACTAATTTAGATATATCATTTAGAACATGTCTACCTCAATGCCCATCTACCTGCACAATTGCTTTTGAACTGCATGTTGCTTTACCTAAAATAAACTTATCTTTGGATATGTACAATAAAATTTGCCATTGTGTTCTTTTTTTTACATGCAAATTCAGTGGTTACTGCCCTTATTCTGTCTTTGCTGCTGGATTAACTGGAAACAACTGCAAACAAGAATTGGCATATGTCCTACCTAGGAATAAGCAAATCTGCCTGGGTTCGATTCATGGGCAGTTCATAGATTCCTGCTTAAAGTCTGTAAAACCCTAAATTAGCAACAAACCCCTTTTGAAGTCTATGGAGTGCAAATCCTGATATTAAATTATGTCCATATTCAAAAACAGAGCTAGGGTCCTTATCCTTTGACTTCTTGGAACCAGCAGTCCCTCCCATGTGTTTAGAGCATATGCAATATTCCAGGCCAAATGCTGCTATGCTGTCTTGCAGACAGGAGCAACACTGGTCCAGTGCTACTGGCAGCTCTCCAGGTCCAGGCATTAGCCTGCAAGCAACCCTTTGGCAAAAAAATTGCACGTATACTTTACATGGCACATGTCCTTAACCTTGTGGTGCAGCAGTTCATCAGGAAGTACCGTAGCCTCCAACAGATCTTCTTCAGGCCAGAAGTGTTTGTGGCAACTTTAGGTGGTCATACCTGGCCAGTGATCATTGCTTATTGGATTTGATAATGCCGGCTATGTGTTGTTTCAATCTGGTCTTTGGTCTTCCAAAGTGGTCACCCTCTTCTGCAGCACAGACATCAGATTGAAATCTAAACATTTTGTTGCAGACTTACAACTTTTTAAGAAATGAGAGTTGCACTGTGTTTAGTACAACTTCCCCATTTCCCTACTTAGATTGAGGTTCATCAGACCTCATTATCATCACAACATTTTGCTACCTACCTATTCAATAAAGGATTCCATCTACTTTAAAAGACATGCCAGAGCATAGAGGTCCTACACTAATCACTCCATATACCCTTTATCATGGGTCCATGAACCTTGAACACAGAGGATTAACATGTATTAGCAGTGAACCCAGACCTCATCCCTAGGTCTGACCCCTGATATGCTCAGGCTGGTTCCAAGTTGGTAACTGACTAAATATTGAAAAAAACTTTTGGATGCAAGGGCAGAAATGGCAGTTCCCATGTGTCAATTCTGACAGGTTCCTTTTAAAATTGTAATTTTCATGTTTTGAAGTAGACATTGTACTTTTTTTTTCAAGGTCCGCTGCTTCACTATCACATTAAATAAATATGCAGGTCAGACTTCTAGAATGGGGTCACTGGCTTCCAGTTATTCTCAAAAGTATTATTTGCTCTTTTGCCAAGGCAAACCAATATATGATTTCTCTAAAAGTCTGTTGCATCATTCAAGGTGATTGACTGTCTATTGAGTGCAGTCCAAAAGATCTATAATTATTAATTTATTAACTGCAAAATCAGCTCAGTATGTTCTGCTTTACATATTTTATTTTTTATTAGTAATATAAGTTTGACAGTACTTGCAAAAAACTTTTAAACTATATATATTTACCTAATCAGTATTTTAATAACATCTTTTTTTAAGAAGTGCAGAAAAAAGTTTACTATTTTAAACAGTAAAGTCAATTCGCTACGCTTAATGAGTTATTTTGACAATGTTTGTTATTTTATATGGCAATAATTTTCTCATCAAAATGTTCAGTTCTCATACATATATTATTGCGTGGGTTTAGATATTACTTTTTTTGTATTAAATAGTTATTTAACTAGTTAAAGTATCTGTTTCTTATAGTTTTGATGTATCTTCATTTTATGTCTCTATCAAATAGTTACATTTTTTGCTTATCCCAATACAGATCTCATATAACTTCCCAATTAACTCCAGTCAGGCGATAGCATTTTTAAGGGGTAATAATATGTGTCATATTTTTTACATTTAACTTCAAAATGCCACAAAAGTGATAATATAAAATGCATTAAAAAATCAGGCAATTGATTAACTAAAACCTGTAGTGAAACCTATAGTGAAAGAAAATAAGCAAATAATAAGCAAATAAGTTAACACATATTAATGAAAATACAGCATGAATTATGGTGAATTGATCCTAATATTCCTGGTTTATCACATGTTAATACATTGCACATAGTTTATACAATGGCTGTATGTAATATTTTTTTTAAGCACTATCTTAAACATTTGTCAGCTATTATTTTTTTGACAATCAATTTTTTATAATATAACTGTAGCTATGTCATGGCTATGTATTCATAAATCATGCTTGACAAGTTAGATATGTAATTAACAGCATTAGAAAATGTAAACATTTTTTATAACACTTAGGTGATTATATATTTCAGATTCGTAATAGTTATAGTTGTCATTTTGTCTGCATGCCATATATCGTCATTAAAATATAGTTTTAGACATTTCATTATGAAAGAGAAAAAACTATAATATTTAGGAAAATGCAACATTCAAAAGAAAAAGTTAGCATCCAGTGCCACTATGTGTCCCACAGGTTTCAGCAACACAACTGCTACTACCACCGGTGAGTTGGAGGAGCAAATTGAGGCTACTCCTGGTGCTGTAACACTTGCTCTCACATCTGCTGATGTTACTGTATCCTGTTTAACTGCTACCCCCAACAAAAGCCATACAGAAGATATCCTGGTCCAAGTCGTTGAACGTGTTTTGGAATCAAGCATAATCACGGATCTACAGTCTTCTCCAACAGCACAAACACAAAGCTTACGAAGACGGCCAAGAAATTCTGTACAGATAGACAGAACTAAAGAGCTTACAGGTGTTACTCATAGAGGTATCTATGCTATTTTATTGTGACCCTTTTAAAAAGCCATTTATTAAGGCCATGGTCACTTATGTTTGTCATATCATGGCTAAAAGTTTCAAAACATTTTTTTCTTTAAATTAACACTTTCAAAATGTAAAACATTGGAATATTACACCATAAAAGCATCCCCAGGAATGAAACGGGGTTTAAAAAGTTTCAAAAGTAATAGAAAATAAATAGAACATTTCCAAAGCAGATATGTCATAGCATGAAATGACAAGACAATCACTGACAATGGCCATAAACATGGATTTAATTATGATGTATATATTTTATTGTAAGTTCTGTTTTGGAAGAAATGTTTGCATCAAAAGTGCATTCTTCCCCACGAGGTATATACTGAATATTTTTCTTAATCAACCTTGTCCTAATTTTGTACTATTCTTTCTTGAAACTTGTAGGATACCGCAAACTTAATTTACAGGTAAAATATTGGCATTGTCCTTTTAAAAATGAAACACACACATTTATATTTGGGGTGCAGATGAGTTATGCAGTTTTTTTGTGAAATAAATGCCCAGCCATATAAAATCAGAAGTGGTTGTTTTAAATATAATTAATGCTCTTTTTAATTTTGCTGTGTGGTGAAAATTAAGTAAAACTATAAACATATTTTCCAGTTATATATAGGGCTTATATTCCTAGCAAATCAGTCTAAATGTTAATAATTAGAAAAAAAAATAAGCAAATGAGTTGGAATAAGCAATAACATTTACATTTTCATATTTAAGACTTTCATTTTAGCACTTCATTTTCACAGTACAGCAAATGCTACACAGTTTATGAAAATTCATTATCAAATGTTTACCTGTTCTAATGATATACCTCATAATTTCTAATAAAGCATCTTATTTTCACTTTTTAATCAAGTTCCTTTTTCCAAGAATTTCAACTGAAACTAAATTCTTTCAACCACTTTCATACATATAAATTGGACTCTTAGCCATCATATGAAAAAAGCAGTTTAAAAGAAAAGATACCAAAGGGAGATCAATACATTACATGTAACAGTCTGATCTATGATGATGATGATATATATATAGATATATATATCTCATTAATTTTGAAAG